GGGAAACGTGAAATTATTTCTGTCTCTAGAACATTATTAATTTCTTGCTGTTAAAGTAGGAGATCTAAGTAAATATAAATAAATCTATTTATTCGAGGGATTTAGTGGTAGCACTGTATGTTAGAACTAATTCAGGAAAATTTCTACGAACAGTCACTACCAAATATGTTTCTTGTCATACAAAATTACTACCATATTCTTGTTGTCGTATTATTAGGTATTTAAAAAAATATTCAATGTTCTGTTTTCCTCTATTCTCCTCGTATTATTTGAACGTCTTTAATCCAAGAAAACACTGCTCGTTTAATGTTAATGGTGCCCCAGTACAATATGGGTACTCCTATGTCCATACATACTTATGTAGTGCATAAAATTAATACCGCATGGTCCAGGGTGCTGCACCGGACCTGGTGAGGTTACGTGGAGTCGCGATGGGTCCTCGAGGTATCAGGAATAAGTTCAGTCCCCACTTCGTGTCCTTTTAGTTAATGTGGCTACTTAGGTGCTCCCACGCAGAGTCAGATAAGAACTCCTTTCAATATTTTTGGCTGTCCCGGCGATGTTTCGATGGAAAATACATAGTCGTATTGGAGTCTGATCAACGCACTTATTGGGCCTTCAAATGACCAGCAGCTATTTCTTACAATTAATACTTTATAAATACTCAGCAAACTATTGAAATAAATACTTTATAAATTTCTTTCGAATCACGTGTTGACTCCTACTAATTTTTCCTTAGTGAGCGTCTAGTTCGCGCAAGTGATGATCAGCAAAAGAGACGATCTCTCAAGCGGATGTTGCATCTGACCTCCTTTTTCTGAACCGATCCGCCCTATTGATAGGACCCTTTTGGTATTAACCCTCAATATATTACTCAAATGACAGGAGTTTACAAAATTGAAAAAAGTACTAAATTGATTACAAGCAAATGTAGAGATTTACAAAAATTATTTAATTAATAGATAGCAAATAAAAGGGAAGGGAGATTTTAGCGACTTCTCGAAACAAAATACGGAATGTAGTGATATATTTATGAATAATGGAATTGATTGAAATTCGCGCTCACACCTCTTGGGATGATGCCCAGTCGCCATTCGCCATTTGAATAAACATTGGGTTCATCGGATTTTTGGCAAGCACTCCATGCTATCACAATAATCCTTCCAGGAGTCCCTTTGGGCTTTCCTGGTGGCATTCTTAAATTTCTTCAAGGCAGCTTTGTAAGCAGACGAAGAACCATTACGCTTTGCAGCGTTGGAGAGCTTCCTGCTTTCCTTCCTTCAAGAGGCAATTTCTTTGGTCCACCAGTGTGGCTTCCTCTTTCCTCTCGGAAGTATAATTGGACAGGACGCAGAGAAGGCCGTACTACAGGCATTGGTGATGAAATCTACGGCTTCTTCAATTTGTTCCGATGAGCCTAACTCACCGAGAGAAGCAAGGTTTGCGAATAGAGGCTCCGCTTCATCAGATGGTAACAGTAAGCCGAGCCAACTGAGAGAAGCGTCGTTGAGCAGAGGCTCCGATAGTACCCTCCTAAACACAGTCCAGTCGGTACGTCTCTTGTTTCTATACAGAATCGGAGCCGGATATTCCAAAGAGATTTGGAATGAATGGTCATTTAGTACATGCCATTCCCTAATACTCTCCAAGAAAAAGTTAGACGTTAAGGTAATAAGGAGGAGGTACTCCCTGTTTGAGGTAACAAAGTTGGGTCTAATATCAATATTACAAATAGCTAGATCATAAGATAGTATGAAGTCAAGTAGTAACTCACCTCTTGGGTTGATATCGGTAGAACCCCATAACGAGTGGTGCGCGTTTGCATCTTGCATTTGCTGTCTTGATGAGGATGCCTGGCACGAGAGGTCCATCGGCCGTGTAGGCTCCGTTGGCATCCCAGACGCCAGTCGCTCGCTACCCTCCGAGGGTTTGCAGCTACCAACGCTGGGCTCAATGTACGATTTAAATGACCGTGAAGGCTTCTTCGGGCCGATCCAGCGGCTACCGAAGATTTCTCTTGACTATTTATAACGCCGTGTCCGTCGGCGGCATTTTTACAAGTGCAGGGATCCGGGGCTTCATTATTTGTATTCATACTCATCTGGTTCTTTGGTCGCCTACTGAGCCGAAACCGTTCGGCGACCGTGTATAAGGGTAAGGGGAAAAAACGGTCGGCCACAGCAGTGCCCCGTGCTGCGGTAAGTCCACCGTACTCCCGGAGGTGGACAGGTATCCGGGAGGCGCCGTTAAATACAGTCGGAAGAGCCCCCTGACTGCAAACAATCCAATAGGCACGGTGACGCATGACACCCTGGATTAGGGGGGCGTTTTATACCTACCGCCAGGTACCCCCTAGAAATAGCCTAAGTAAAAATAATGTGGCACTTAAGAAGCCTAAGCCAAATTGGTCGATATCGGTCAAGTAGTTTTTGAGATACGCATATATGATATAAGTGGGCGGTGCCACCCCCATTTTCCTAAAAATTCCTGAAAAACCACTTCTTTGCTAAAGAACGATTGTATATGGGCAAATCTAAAAAACAGGTAACCATGGTGTTATTTAGCTTTATTTTCACTGTTGTAAATTATATCAAGCTGGTTGCTTTTGGATATAATTCATTGGCGCATACTTGAAGCATAAACTACATTTGGATCAATTTTCCGCATAACTTTTGAATTGTAGGTGTTTTAATTTAAAAAAATAACGAAAACAAGTGAATTTTTTATGTAATTTTTAAGAGGGGCAGAATTAATTATGTCATAACTTTTGAAGCACACCATATTCTGATTTGAAATTTAATGGACATTTAGCACTTATGTGTATACTTCATATGTAGTAGGTAAGAAAAGTGTTTATTAAAAAATAACTAAAACTAACTAAAAGTCTGTAACTCCACATTTCACCATTTTCAACATTTTCGGTTTATCGCGTATAGTTTTTGAAGCATTTAATATAAGGAACTTTTTAAGTATGTATTGTATTCTACAAACAATTACGAATAATTTGATACCTTAGAAAGAGGTGTGCTTTCGGAATAAACCAACTTTTAATGATAAAATATTCTGCGATCTTGAGCGTAATTTTTATTTCAAAAATATCTTAATTGAAGGCACTTTTGGAAAATACGTCGAAACGATCTAAATATTTTTATAACGTTGCATATACCTGTAAAATGCTTCAAAAAACTGTTCTCTAGAAGTGTGTAAAAACCCCGATTAAGTACTTTTAATTATGCTCCTTCTTATAGTCAGAATATTTCGGCGTGGCATCAAATCAAATTTTTTTCGATAAGGTTTCTGATAGTTGCTCTTACTTAATTGGAGCCTTTTAAATTCAATGGTGTCCCCAGTTTTGCCCGATTGTCTCCACTTTTGGAGACTTTAAACTTTGCTTAAATTTTTTATAAAAAACTCCCTCAGTTTTGAAGATATTTTATTAAAATTTTGCACACGCTTGTATTTTAACATTTCCTTCACTGTTTCATAAAATCATCGAAATCGGTTCACTCTAAAATCTAGCTCCCATACAACTGATTGTCCAGAGGCGTTGTTTTGCGTTATAACTCCTCCAATTAAGCAGGTACAAATTTAGCATAGGTTCACTTTAACATATAGCACGCATACAATTTATTATTCAGATAATCAGTTGCATTGGAGCTATACGTTAAAGTGCACCCATTTCGATAATTTTAATAAATAATTAAGGTAATATTAAAAAACCGTTATGTGCAAAATTTTAGTAAAATAACTTAAAAACTGAGGGAGTTATTTATAAAATAGTTAAAATTTAATAAAATTTTCAAATAGCATTATCTCGAAAACCGGAGCCAATCTGTAAAAACGGGGCATGTCATTGAATTTAGAACGTCCCAATTAAGTGAGTTCAACTTTCAAAATCTTTGCTCAAAATTTACAACTTGAACAACGTAATTTGAACCCAGCTTATTCTTTTGTTTTCTATTTCATGTTTATTCCTCGTCTACCTTTTGAAGCACTTAATGAAAATGAATTACACTTATATTAATCGATTCATTAAGAGAATACGAATAAAATGATATATAAAACATAGGTGTGCTCACAAATTTAAAAATTAAATTTTTTTTTGGAGAGTGTACCTATTTTTTAGATTTGCCCATATGCATATCAATTTTGGATAAATATTGATGAATTTCTTGGCCACACTGCTCAAAAAATTTGAAAGTCCGGTACATAAACAATATAAATTCAAGGCCGTATTTAAGAAAAGTCTCCTAAATTCGACAATTTTAATGCGATTGCAATTAATGAGGTATCAGCTTATTTGAAAATAGATTTAATTTTAGAAAGTACTACATACTTTGAAATTGTGGAAATTATCAATGGTCAAAATTTAAAAAATTAAGAGAAATATGAGTTTTTTTTTATTTTACACCATAAAAAATCCCAACAAGCCAAGTCCGAAATTAGATTATTAAATACCATTTAAATGCCTATATATCCTCTTCTCAGATGACATTCGATCTTTGAAATCGAGCCAAAAAAATAGTCATTCCAAAAGTCATAAATCTACAAAACAGTATTTTTTAACCTAAATCGACAGGTCGCGACCTCTAAATGACCTTTAAAATATCTATAAAAATAGGCAATAATATTTCTATTAAAAACGAATAAAATTAGGGGGTAGGGTCTTTAAATTTCCGAAAAAAAAATATTTTTGATGAGCACCCTAATGTACATATGTGCGTATGCACATAAATAATTTTGTTTGTACCTGCGTTTGAAAATATATTAAGGGAGTTCAAGATTTGAAGCATTTTAGATGTTTTTTATCCCATTTGGCCATAATGCGTGGTTTGGTTGAAATAAAATGCGCCAGATAGTATATTTGAAACCATGCTGTGACAGAACTGTTTGAAGGTGAGCAGTCAAATCAACAGAACAGAAAAACCAAAAAACCCTTTTCAGATATTCTGGAGGTTAACTCTTGATATTGGAGCAGTTGTTAAGAATTGAGCGAATTTGGTGCGATGTGGCATCAACGAAATGTCAAAATAAATGAATGTCGAGAGCAAGAAGAATGTAAGAAATAAAATGTAAGAGTAGTAGTAATTTGAATTCAGCCAAATAAACATCGTTGGGTTTTTATACTATTTTTCCCAACGTTAAAAAATGTATCTGAGTTTTATTTTAATAGTTCCTCTTAGAAGAAACATTGGTTCATGTCGAGCCGGATTTGTGATCGGCCTCGATATAGATAAGAGATAATTTAGAAGTGCTTACATACATGCATGTGTTCAAAGGAATTTGATGTGGCGAAATTCATATCGCTTGCTAGAATACTCGTTGGCATTTCAAGTGGTTTCAATCAGAGAAACAGAGGAAGGGATGGTTTTGTTTCATCGCTCTGTGAAATGTAATGGTGTTCGTTGGGGAGAAATTGAGCTGCCCTGCAAAAAATTGTGCGACTAATCTATAAAGAGAGTATTCCGAGATTACTCTCAATCGGGTATAAAGGTGAACAATTAGTCTCTTCATAGGACATGCTCGAACAAAAGCGATCATTTCATTCCATATAAAGAGATCAAAAGTGGTATTACTCGCATGCTCCTTTGCGATTGCTCCCGGAGTCATCCCGGATTAGTCCCATTTTTTGCAGGGTGTGTATGTGTATGCACGCATACATATACGTGTGTTTATGTGCTTTTGAATGGTTTCAGCGGGGCACGAAATATAAGCTGGATGCACGTCTGTGGCAACAACTATATTATTAAAAACGACTTACCGGCGGGTCGCAAAAACGACTCCCTGTAGCCCGCAAGAACGATATACCAGCGAACTGCAAAACGACGCTCAAAGTTGCTAGAAAATTAAAACAATTTTTCTAGTTTAAAATAGTTTAATTTAATTCATTGAATTTGTTTCAAAGTTTTTTAAATATACATAAATACTTAAATACTAATAAAAAAGAAAAATAAGGTAAACATTCAGTCATAAAATATAAACAAAAATTTTAATATATTTTAATATTATATAAGTTTTAACAATTAATTTTTTGTTACTTCATTTTACTTATCTTTAAAATTAATTATAATTGTGGTTATTTTTTAACAAGGACCATGTAGTTCAAAATTAAAGCAATGTGCAGTATACATACATACATATATATGTATATATAAAAAAATTTCAACAAGCTTTCATAAAAATTTAAAGCTTTTTAATCTGCATTTAAGAAACACATAGGAAGCAGTTTTATAGTCCATAAAATGTTAGTATAATAGAACACAGGTTTGAAGTAAAACAAAACTCACATTGATTTTTGGTGTTATTTTTTTGCGGTACTGCGCATTTTAATCCATATGAATTTTATAACAGAAAATGCATGCTTTAAGGCACTTCAGCCTTGTATTCTATTATACATACCAAACTTCAATGGACTTTAAAACTGTGTGTCTTTAATGCAGAATAAAAATCTTAAAATTTTTATAAAAGCTTGTTAATTTTTTTTTATATGCACATACATGCATATGTATATTGCGGAACTTTGAATTTTGAACTATATGGTCCTTGTTAAAAAATAAACCCAAATTTTATAAAGATAACTAAAATGAAGTAACGAAAAAATAAATTGTTAAAACTTATCAATATGACAGATAGTATATTTATGCAGACGACTGTGAAACATTTCTTTTATTCCGTTTTGAGATCTTGTCTCCAGCATAATGGAAATATCTTTTGGTTATTCGCTCTATTATTTCCACAGATTCGTTGAATTTTTGCTGGAATGCTTCTGAAATAATATTAAAAGTATATTAATCATTTTTGAGAGCTGGGCATCAACAATTAAAGCGTACTTCTAATTGCCGCTGTTGTGATGAGATGCCGCTAATTTTCTCCATTTTGAGTCCCTTCTGTCACCTGAAAAAGACTTGCGTGCCAAATGAACTTTTCTCTCAAAATTTACACTGCTGGCAAATGTAAATAAGGATTAAAATTTAAACACTAATTAATCCGACTAAAGTAAAATCTGTGGAAAATTAACAATAAAATACTTTTTTCGCAAAATCTATAAAGGACCCTTTTATTTCTCAAGCAAACCTGGGTAACAGTTGTTCGTCGCCACGCTGTAAAGTAAAAGTATAGTTTTCTACCAAATTAAAAAAACATATTCCCACAAATTTTATTTTTTATTATAAAGGCCAATAGAGTGAACTTTACCTTTATAAAAAAAACATTTTATATGAAAAATATTATGAATACTGAAAAAAAGATCTTGTCAAGTGTACATTGTGGATTCCATATTCTGTTATGATAAAAAAATTTCATAATAAAAACGGTTTACTATCCAAATGAATGACTTTTATTTATGCTTAGATATATTAAAATTTGGGCGTGCAACTTGTCCAACCTAGACCTCAAAAAACCTTTAGGTTCGAAGAAACAGATTCGTTTCGAGTTCACCAAAACGACTTCACCAGGGCGACGTCGTAACGGCTTCACCAAAGCGACGTCGTTTAGAGTTCACCCAAACGACTTCACCAGAGCGACGTCGTAACGACGTCGTTTCGAGTTCACCAAAACGACTTCACCAGAGCGACGTCGTAACGACGTCGTTTCGAGTTCACCAAAACGACTTCGCCAGAGCGACGTCGTAATGACGTCGTTTTCGCCCTGTGGCAAATTGGGATTGCAGCTCGGAGGGGAATTCGTTTGATCATCTTTAAGAATAGTTGTGACAGATGATGCGAGAATTGTTGCGAGAAGAAAAAATGATTATACCTTGAAAATGGTAAAGGTGAAAAGAGCGAAGAGAATGGAATTCTATAGAATTTGTGAAAGGATTACGTGAAAGAAAGAGGATGAGAAAAGTATTGCCATGCGTATGCATACATATATTTGCGTATATGTGTATGTGTATGTGCATGTACTATGTGTTACAGTCCACTAGACGGTATTTATTTCTCATGAGATAGATATATATGTATGTGCTTGGTGTGACGACAGATAGTTGCACCTTTTAAGAGATACAGAGAAACTGCCAAAAGTGCATACACACGGCAATACGATGGCATCAAGCGACAAGAAAAATAGCGAATGTTCTGGAATTGAAATCCATTGGATGATATTCTACATTGCTTGCATATAAGATAGAGTGAAAAGGTATCAGAATGAAAGAATAGCAGTCGTATCGTGATAGATTCTGGCGTCGTCTAAGAAGCGTTGATGATGAAATTATTTGGTTAATCGTGAAAAGGACAGTTTGTGACAAGAACATAACGCGCTAAAATTTTGAGAAATATTTACTAGTAAATAGAGAAAATATTTATTATTATTTTGACGAGAGATTTTTGAAAGACAGTGAGTCAATCTACTCTACTTTTTGTAGAAGTAGAGAAAAGTTTATAAAGATTAGAAATGGGAAAATTAACATACTCTTTTTATTGTATATACAGCAGAATGGGAGGACAAGATCTTTTGGAAAGTTTATGCAAGTCAATTTCGCGCATCAAGGAATACTGCCAACATGCAGAGTTCAAAAACGCAACGCTGGAGCAAGTGAAAGTTCGCGCTGAGAAGCTGGAAGCTTATTATGGACGATTTGTAGATACACATGAGAAGCATTTGGATCAAGATGCTACACAAGCAAGTACATATGACGACATCGCAGCTTTAGTGGAGTCGCGCTATTTTACGGCACAAGCCCTGTTGGCTGTTAGGATTAAGGAGCTCACACCTGTGACAGCGCCAATTTTGCATGAGCAGCAGCCCTTCGCGGTCCAGGTAAACATACCATATCAACAGCATGACTTAAAAAATACCTGGGGTAATTTTGACGGAACATTAACTATGTGGTCTGGGTTCCGTGACCGGTTTTCCGCTGCCATACAAGAAAATAAGAATGTTTCGCCAGCCTTTAAATTTTCTTATTTAAAAAAGTCGCTCATTGGTAGAGCTGCACAAACACGAGGTGAATGGCAGCTTACAGATGAAAATTATATAGAGGCATGGGAGCGGCTCAAGCAGCTGTATGACCGCAAATATCCAATTTGTCGCGAACATTAACGGCGTTTATTCGTTTGCCAGTTATAGGAGGGGTCCCACGGGCTCATGAGCTTCAGCGAATGTCCAATGTGACACATGAAGTGTTACGACAGCTCCGATCTCAAGGAATTCCGGTCGATGCTTGGGATATGATTATAGTTCATATGCTGCATGAAAGGTTAGATCCTGATACGAGTAAGCAGTGGGAGCTGCAACGAGAGACAGAAACACCGACTGTAAAACAAATGTTAGATTTCTTGGATCGTCAAGCAGCTGCCTTAGTTAATGTTGCAGATCTACGTAATTTACGACCACAAGATGGCAAGGCATTAAACAATGGGAAGAGAGACAGGCTATTATCAACGCGTTTTGGGTCAGATGGCATAACGAGTATTTGACAACACAAGACAGGAGCGCAAGAAGTGGTGACGAGAATCGGAGCGAGTGCGCTTAGGACAGTTGGTGCTAATTAAGAGTGAGCAATGGGCTATAGGCCGTATAATAGAACTTCACCCCAGTAGGCATAATTTGGTACGCTCAGTGGCAATTCGAACTGCGACGAACATTTTACACAGGCCAGTACAAAAGATATGTATCCTGCCGATAGACACAGAAGAGAAATAAAATCTGAGAACTGGCCAAGGGGTCATAGCATTGGAAAAACTGATGGTTTTTCGGGGGGATTGTTAAGAATTGAGCGAATTTGGTGCGATGTGGCATCAACGAAATGTCAAAATAAATGAATGTCGAGAGCAAGAAGAATGTAAGAAATAAAATGTAAGAGAAGTAGTAATTTGAATTCAGCCAAATAAACATCGTTGGGTTTTTATACTATTTTTCCCAACGTTAAAAAATGTATATGAGTTTTATTTTAATAGTTCCTCTTAGAAGAAACAGCAGTAAAGCTAAGCGTCAAAAGTTAAAAAAATTGCTTTCCTAGCAAAGCAACAGCAGTTTTTTAGTGTATTTTTTAGTTTTTCAAACACTGTTTAGTACTATAGTAGAGTTTAATTTTATTTGTCAAAAGATTCAATTTATTTGCCAAAAGATGAATTTTATTTGTCAAAAGATTAATTTTATTTGTCAAAAGATTTATTTATTTGCCAAAGGATTAAATTTATTTGCCAAAAGATCCATTTTATTTGCCAAAAGTTCAACTTAATGTGTCAATGCTATATTGTATACCTTTGGCATGCGGAAGCCCCTCTTCTCCGGCAACACAGAAAGGAGAATTCTACTTAGTAAGAGTTATAATACCTAAGCGCGGCCGAAGGCAGAAGCAAGCGCAACAGGTGGTGGACTTAACAAAATGCATGTTTTCAATGGCTTGGAATAAGCTGTTATTGCATTAACTGGATGGGGAACCAGCTCTTCAGGCATAGGAGGAGTTCTGGCTTGTGGTTCAACAATTCAGCCAGAAGCTGACATAGATGCACCCATGGTTACTATGCCCGGCAGCTCCGCATACCTTTGTGAGTCCATTGCCATAGGGTGCTCTTACTCCGCTGCTAAAATTTTCCTCAAAATATATAAATTAAAATCAATCAATTTTACTATAAACTAGCACATGATGAGTGTTTTTTAATTCCTTTCCACTTTGTTGTCCTTCATACAGCTGAGTTCGAAAAACAACTGATACCTGGCAATGCTGCATATTTTTCCGCAAAGGTTGCATGTAGATGTTTCGTTTTTCGTAACGTATCTACGAATTACGAATTACGAAAATTCGGGTTCTAGAATAAAGGTGTTAATCTTTTGGCAATTGAAATTAATCTCTACTGTGGTACTAAACAGTGTATGAAAAAGTAAATAATACACTAAAAAACTGCTGTTGCTGTGCTAGGAAAGCATTTGTTTTACTTTTGACGCTTAGCTTTACTTCGCCAATATCAAGAGTTAGCCTGCAGGATAGCTGAAACGTGTTTTTTGGTTTTTCTGTTCTGTTGATTTCACTGCTCACTTTCAAGCAGTTCTGTCATAGCATAGTTTCAAATATTCGTCAAACTATCTGGCACACTTTATTTCAACCAAACCACACATTCTGGCCAAATGGGATAAAAAACATCTAAAATGCTACAAATCTTGAACTCCCTTAGTATATTTTCAAATGCAGGTACAAAAAATAATTTATTTATGTGCATAGGCACATATCGCACACCGTCTTCAAATGAGTCACAACTCAAAATTTTTCATTTTTGAAATTATGCGCTAAAAATGTACACAGAGCTTTTATTTACCTATCAGCAAAAGCTGGAGAAAATTTTGGTTATAATTTGTTAAAAAAAACCTAAGGTAAAGCCTCCCTTGCCCATATAATTAGCATGTGCTACGAAATAACTATTATTTTGAGTTGTGACTCTTTTGAAGACGGTGTGCGATATGTACATTAGGGTGCCCATCGAAAATGTTTTCTTTTTGGAAATTTCAATGCTTTCCTAGCATAGCAACAGCAGTTTTTAGTGTATTTTTTAATTTTTCAAACACTGTTTAATTTTTAGTTTAATTTTATTTGCCAAAAGATTAAATTTATTTGCCAAAAAATTAATTTTGGTTGCCAAAAGGTTAAACTTATTTGTCAAAAGATTAAATTTATTTGTCAAAAGATTAATTTTACTTGCCAAAAGGTTAACTTAATGTGTCAATGCTATAAATGCAGTTTTCACCGATGTACATATTGCTAGAGCTCTAATTGAAAATATAGAATCCATTTTATTTTTGTTTTAGTTTATCGTTGATCATCCTAGGTATTTGAATTATTAACTTTTTCCAGTGCGTCGTTGTTTATATTAAGAGTAAGCAACGGACTGTTCTCAAAATTTCGCTTTGATATAACCACAAAACTAAATTTTATTGACATTCAATTAAGTGTGTTCAAGCCAGGGATGGAATTTAAAAATTTCAAAATGTGCCTAATGGTCAAACTAGTGCCGAAAAAAAGATGAAAGTGCCACAAAATTAAAATATCTTTCTTTTAAGGTCTTCTAAGAGTAATATATTTTTAGAATACACTGATGTAATGTAATAACTATTAATTAGCAAAAATTATTACAGTAAATCACGTTGATGAAGGATTCCTTAGACATATATAAATAAATTCATGCTAAACTAACACAGCATTCTAATTACCAAGGGGAAATGCACCGAAATATAGCTAATCTGACGTCTTTACACATACATATATGCGAAATAATGGCGGTGATATATTTTGATTAAATTTTTCTTTTGATTTTATACAAAAGTCTAACTCATAATTCAGCAAACACCATATATCTATGTATGTATGTACATAAATCTACATTTCAAACTTTGTACAAAAATTAAAAAAACAAGTAAGAAAGTCTAAGTTCGGGCGGAGCCGAACATTAAATACCTGGCGCAAGTATTAAATATATGATTTTTACCTTTCCGAAAGCAACCGCTACATGTAAGCCGGGGTGTATCAATTTTGAGTAAATTAGCGTCCTTAAATTTCGAAATATTGAAGTTTCAAGCATTTCTGAAATTTGCCGTTACCTAAAAAGCGGCCATAGTTTTAGTCCGATTACAATAATTTTCAAAAATTTTGCTTCTATGTGGCAAGCGCAATAACCACACCGAGTTTGGTACAAATTGGTAGAACGGTTACCGAGGTACATATATGTGATCATAAGTGGGCTGTGCCACACCCATTTTTCAAAATTTTAATATAAACGTATTTCTTGGTAAAGAATTGTTGCAAGCATCAATTTTAAATAAATTAAAATTTAATATTTACTGATTTATCGAAGATTTCGTATTTCTCTAAATTACCATTATATGGGATGTGGGCGTGGTTATTGCCCGCTTTTTTAAATTTTCGGCCATTTCGTATCTTATATCAAGGGCATCAACTGTGCCAAGTTTGGAAAAAATTGGTGCAGCGATTACCAAGATATACACATGTAACCTTAAGTGGGCGTGGCTACGCCCATTTTCCAAAAATTAATATTTTTCGTCTAAAACTTATTGTAAATATAAATTTTGAGTGAATAATCTTCAGTAGTTACTAGAATATCGCAGTTTTCGTATTTCTGAAAATTACCAATATATGGGAGGTAGGCGTGGTTATTTTCCGATTTTGCCCATTTTCAATACCATCCGTCCTACGCTAGAAGGAAGTGTACGTACCAAGTTTCGTTAAGATATCTCAATTTTTACTCGAGTTATCGTGTGCACAGACGGACGGACTTACGGACGGACAGACAGTCACCGCTTAATCGATTTTTCTTTTCATTCTGATCATTTATGTATACATTTGTCTATATCTATCTCGATTCGTTTTCCCTGTTACAAACAACCGTTATGTGAACAAAGTTATAACACCCTTGCGCACAAGTGCGCTCGTGTATAAAAATCAGCAACAAACTTTTAATTCAGAATTCTTAGACATTCCATGTTTCCGAATTTACGCATACCATATACAGTGTGTTCGAAAGTTTTTTAAATGGATGAAAATATATCACACCGCCAACAAAAAAATATGATCAAAATCAACGGGATTTTGCTGAAACTTGCCCTTTTGCGCTGGGAATTCACAATAGGATTCTGCGTTTTGTCAAAAGCGGTCACACAATATATCTCACGACCCTTATTTTAATTTTTTCTTTTTGTAATTTTTTTGTCTATAATGTAGTATGTAATTATTTGTTATATAGTATATTGGCATATTATGCTATGTCCCTAAATTTATGATTGTGCCAAAACAGGATGAATTGTTCCAAAAGTACCTCTGCGAATGAAAGTGCCAAAAATTGCACTATTGTGTCTACTTTTCCATCACTGGCTTAAGCATAACCAATCGCACTTTTTTAGAACTTCTGTGTGGAAGGTTTTTCGCTAAAAAAATAAAAATATTTGTTGCTGTTTCCAAAAAATTAAGAAATCTGAGACGTCACGCTTTACAATTTCATAGAGCTCTCTGTACAATTTATTTCACTAGACTACTAAACAGCTGCACCGATTTGGTTCATATTTGGAAGATATGCCAGCACCTTGAAAATAAATATTTCGACCAAAAAATTACTCGGTATGTAGCTCGGCATATTCCTGAAATCTCTAAAACCAATTACGCTAGGGAACTGAAACTTAGCACTGATGCATATATTGCAAATGCATTGGAAAAGGGGGCGTGGCACCTTCCATACAAATTGCACTTCTCATATAGCTTATCTCTGGAACCGCTTACGCCAACGTCCTCAAATTCTACACAGCTATATATGTTATCAATGCCGTACTTACTGCGAAAAGTGGTAAGTAATGGAAAAGGTGGCGTTGTACGCCCGTGCTTCTCATTTCACTTATCTCTGGAAACGCGCACGTTAATTTTCTGAAATTTGGCACAGCTACATATGTTATCAATGCCGTACTTAGGCGAAAAGTGGTAATTATTGGAAGGCTGGATCGATATACATTTACGTAAACGCGCAAGTATCAATCGATTGTGAACCATTTTCTCCTAGATTTCTAAATCCCTTTGAAATATTGGAACTTTTAAAATTTTTGTGAAAATTTTGAAGCATTTTTTTACATTTTTCACAAAGAATTGAGCTTTGATTTTACGAGTTTCGCTCTAGACTGTTCTATCTACATACCTATTTGCATAAAATGATAGCCGTTTTCCTTGTTCGGACTAAACTCAAAAACCACTGAATAGAGTTCCGTCAGATTGTCGGAGGTTATCCTACATACATATATGGTCCTATTATATGCTACGAGAAAACTCGCTAGTTGGTGCTGGAGTAGAGCTTTTTATAAAAATCGTGTTTATTAACCGATTTCGATCAAATTTTTGGAAAATTCTTTTGATAAAAATTGACCCGATGAGTGCCGCTGGAGTCGAGGTTGAAATTCATAACACGTATTCATTTTATGGTAAGCAATGGTTTT